GACGGAGCGGCTGTTGAGCAGGGGAGGCGGGGACGGCTGCGGTGGTGGAGACGGGGCGCTCGTTGGGAGGAGGAAAGGATGAGGTCTCGACTTCGCCGCGAGATGGGGGGAGGGGTACGGGGTTCAACGACCTCGGGGGTCGCGAGCGGAGGCGGGGTCTCCCCCTGCTGCGTAACGGAGAGTTCTCCGTCGTAATTGAGGCTGGAAAGGTTGGAGGTGTCACCGTTTTCGCAGGACATGGTGTGGAGAGAGAGAGGGGCGCTGTGGACAGAGATAGGGCAAGTTCACGACCCGCGTGCAGCTGACGCCAATAAGGGTTGGCCATCTCAACCACAGGGAGGGTGTTGATCCCTCAGCCGTCTGGTGAACAGGCGGTCTCTCCGGAGCAGTGGTGGCGACCGTGAGGTATCACGGGGCAGGACAGTTTTCTAGGAAGAGGCGACGGGTCTCTGGAGACAGAGATGAAGACGGATGTGACAGACGAGGAGGGGGGGACTGTGCACAGCACAGCTCTCCAGCGCTGACGCACAACAAGCCTGACGCCGCGTGGGCACACGCCATGCTGAGCTGGCACGCTGACGTAGCGTGAGACAGCTGTCATGTCAGCTGGCGGTTGCTGCGACTGATATATTGAAGTCGTTCAGTGAACGGGGTATCTCGGAACACGCGCCTACAATGGCATGCGTATACATGCGTGCGGGGAATGATCCGCAGAATAGTGCGGAAGAACAGTTGAAATGGTCCTCGAGTATGAGCGTGCTCTACAGGGAGACCGGTGACTCACACTACAAGACGAAAGAATTTCATTGGTTGGCTATGTCGATGCTACCAAATACTTAAAAAAAGTAGCACACACGCTTCTGTTTCTGATCTGTTTCAATTCGACGTCCATTCTTTGCGAACCCGTTCGCAAGGTTTGAGCTAAAAAACACATACCCTGCGCCGATAAAAACCTCGTGTACTTTTGGTTGTCGTGACAACCGCTGCCTGGCGTATTTTCATTGGTCAGCCGGGTGGTGCCGCCCGCGGTAAACAAACAAAACACAAGCAGAAACACCAAACAAATTACCCTTTATGCCCCGCTCGGTTAAGATGCAAACAGTATCAATCAACAAAAACCACACGCACCTTCTTAGGACAAGCTTAGCGTCAAAGAAGACCTTGCCGCTGCCGGACTCTAGCAGGGTGGTCTGCGCCATCAGGCCGCTGCCGGGACTTGCGTCGGGAGCCGTGAACTTCCAGTCGTACGTGTGCTTCATGCTCATGAACGGCGACACGTGAAAGTCCTTCTCGAACCTGGAGCGACGGTGCCGTTAGCGTCGAGAGGTGCGACCGGCGTATGGTAAGCATAGGTCATCTACGTACTGCTGTGGCCGCCGGTCTTTACACACGTCGGAACTTCGAGGTACACTTTCTTTTCTCACTTGGGGGCGAATTTTGGTGCGTGTACCCGACGGCATGCTCGAACGACTTTCGTGCTTCTCGTTCGTGAGTCGAAGCTTTTCTTTTTGCTGTCTTTTTTTTTTCTCAGGGCGCCGCCAACCTAACTTCTCCCGAGCTTCTGTTTCGATTGGTGTGGAGGTTTCGAACGCGGAAAAGTCACTCCGCTGATATGTGGAACCCAGCAGATCAAGCCTCATGCGTAACACGAACAATGGATAGGAAGCGGTTGTTATCTCCTCGCATCACCTGTATCGAGTTATTTCCTTGGTGCCCCTCTTGCTGGTGTTGTTGTCGTTGTCGTTGCTCTTGTCCTTGGCGATAACTTGGACCCCTTTTGTCTTGGGGTTGAGGACGTAGCAGTGCATCTCTCCCCAGGGAGTGTTGCTCACCTTTGGGGAGCAGTTATCAGCGTCGACGTTATCGAAAACGACGAGCAAAAGAAGCGACATCCACCGATGTTAACGTTGCTAGCAAAACCGGGTGGGTGGGTGTAATATGAGTGCCATGGTCAGTCTGGGATGCACAACGCGTGGGTATCTGTTTCAATTCCACACCGCACTAAACATACACTAAACCGCACTGTACCGTACTGCAGCGAGATGTGCACACCTTACGAGACTACCTACAAAGAAATTGTGAGGTTGAGGGCCCTCCTGGCGGAGGTCCACGCCGAAATGGTCGCAGTTATCGTGCCGGAATCCTTCCACACAAATAATCAAGGAGGCGTTACGACCGATCTCCAGCACACGCATCGAGGCAGCCTGCACGGTAACCAATCGCGCTCCACCACACAGCATAGCTATGTTGTCTCATTACCACGGCCATTTCGTGTGGCGCCAAAAAAGGGTACAGTAATTGAATCATCTCCGCTGAGACGAATGTGGGACTCGATGCACCTGGCCTGTTGCGGAACAGAATGGTCGCTGACGTTCGTAAGGGGGGAGCGGGCGCGGGAAGACTGCAATACTGGCTACGATGGCACGTCAATTATGCCACCACCCAGGGTCAAGCGTGAGATCAAACCCGTGATTCAAGCGAATGCAAACTCATGAAACATGTAACTCTCACTTCGCGAGCAGGTTTCAAACACGCTCTTGCTTTGAAAAGTGGCTTCACTCCCACCACCGCCGTCCGTGTGCAACTCCTTAATAACACCATCATAAATCCAAACCCAAAGCAGTTTCACCCCTCGCCCAAGTGCTTCAAGTAGGGTTCTCAAGCGCAGGAATAATAAAAGTGCGATGGCGAAACCATGCCTTTACAACCGCGGTCCATACTACACGCCTCAGCTGTCACCGCAGCCGTACCTCTGCCACCACTGTCTCGATTTCCCTCTCCGTCTTGTCGAGGCAGTAGTAGAACGAAACCGGGTTGAAGCAATAGCCAAGGTACGCCAGGTGCGTCAGGAGCTGCACTCGGCCCGTGGGTCGAGCCTGGCCAGAAAACAAGACATGAAAAGGGAGTGCGACAGGCATAATCAAGAGGCGTGTTCTAGCTTCCATGCCGTGCATTTACTTCACGCAACAAACGACACCCGTAGCAGACTGCTACAGAATGCTATCCTCTCTGAAAATGACCAACTTCGAAGAATACTGCCATAAGTTATCTCGGGAAAAAAACAAGACACCAGAACACTTCGTTCAGATTTGGAAGTTTCGGCAGCCCCGCCGACGTCGTCCAAATTATTATCGAACTCCCGATACATGCTGCCCCCTTCCCCCCCGCATCTCCTCTACGTGTAGCCTGACACACAGAGTTCTCCTCTCGAACGACATGCGACTACTACCGGTTCCCATCGCCTCCAATCGCCCCCAGCCTCACCCCTGTAGCCTCCTCGACGATGTCCCTAACCCTATCTGCGAGGCTCGACGACAGCGGTGGAGAGGATGTCGCCGCCGTAGCCCTCGCCCTGGACGGGCCGGACGCCCCTCGGCCCCCCTCGTTCCTCCCCACCCCATCTCCCGCAGCATCGACGGGGTCCCCTGCCGCTGCGCTGCTGCTTTCGTCACCACCACCCCCACCACCCGCCGCAAACACCGGTGTGGCGGCCCCCCTCCCCTTCAGGTGGTCTGCGGACCGGAATCTCGAGAGCGCCGGGAGCCGGGCCGATCCCACCGGCCAAATGTACCTGTTGGGCACAACGCGCGTGAGCAGTGTGTACATGCGGCGGTGCAGGTTGCGTATGGGTATCACATTGCGTGGGGGACGTGCGTCGCGACAGCAACATGAAAGATGGCCAAACAATTCTGTAGTGGGTCGTAGAGCGGCGGCGATGCTGTGACTACAAGCTCCAATTGAAATTATCAGTGGCCTGTTCCGTTGGACCTCCCCTTTGAAACCTGTCACACTACACACGCGAGAAAAACTACGTCCTGTTGGCTAGCGAGTCTCGTCTCGACGTCAGGTTTGCTCACCACAGGAAGAGCGACTTACTTCCCCGGGAATACTTTTCGGCTGAACTAAATGTCAGGAGCGCTTGTTGCTGCATCCGATCGGACCCGAAGGAATGAGCTCGTGATCATACTGCTGTCTTTTACGCGAGGGCAAGGTCGCCCGTTGTCAGTAACACCTCGAACACGTGTGGAAACAGCTATTTTCTACCTTCCACGTCGCCTGTGCCCAAGCGGGCAACCGCACATCGCTCAACGTGTCCATCGAGCGACCGGGAGAACGCAGTGACCCACGTCCTGCCCCACGTTTCCCTCCTCTTGTCTTCATACAAAAAAAAAAACAGATATTTTCTTCAATTGCGGAAGCCAGTTCCCCCCTTCCGGGCAGCGAAAACCTCGAGGAATTTCTCTGCTGACCAATCACAGCGCTCTTTGCCCCCCCAATCTGTACTGGAGGGCCTCTGTCTGGGTACCATTTGTAACGTTACAACGACTTTGCGGCGTATCTCTGTTCCAGTCTGTCACCCCCAACCTATTCACCCCCCCTCTTAGGACGCCACTCATTACGCAGCAAATATCGCTATCAAAGGCTGTCCCCTCTTTGATCAAGGGGGCATCGGAGGGACTGCAGTTGAACTTTCACCCAGGGACTGCGAGCATGATCCAATCACAGCGCTTCTACCTGTGCGCGCTTTCTTGCAAACAAGGCGTGTAAAGGCTTGTACAACAGGCCCCACGGTAGCGTGTTGTGGGGTGTGATGCGCAAGCAAAGTGCGTGATCGGTGGTGTTTTTAGAAAGGAAACATAATCTCACAGAAAGAGTACCCGTTCGAGATATAACCACAGAGTGGAAAGGGGTGTGCTGAGAAGTCTTTGTTTCCTGGCGAAACCATGACACCAAGGCTGTGGTGTAACACACGCCGGTTGTCCCTTCCTTGCTCCCTTATCCCACGGGGAGGCACGTCAAGCTGGATAGGCGGAGAACTCATCGAACGGAGGAGTTCAACTCTTCCGCTGTAAGTCGACCTCTCCTTCGCATCTTGTGCAACGACCGGCATTTCCGTCTCGAGGATGGTGTCATCCTCGTCAGAAAAGGGGCAACACAAAGAACTGGCGTCTACAGACGAAACATGGAGTACACAGCTGTCTCGTTTGCGTGTACTTGCCTTGCCGTCCGTGAAAGGTTGAGTATGTGCACCTCAGCGCGCGAGCGCCCTTAGTTCATTCAACGACAGCGGTGTCCTGCTGTTGTGCGTATACTCTGTTTTTGTCGACAGAAGCTCCACTGCACGGCGCTCTGCTGCCGCTGTTTGCGGCTGAATTATGTACCATGATAAGCTGCAGATATCTGGGTGATACCTTTACCTTAGTACGCGTCTCACCATGGAAACGCGATGTCCAGCTCGTCGAGGTCGACGAGGCAATAGAAAATCGGGTACGAGAAGTGGTGCGCCGTCGGCTTGAACCTCGCATGCCACACACGGCCCGCATAGACTGCCGACCTCCCTTCGCCTTCTCCCCTGCCCCGCCTGCGTCGTCTTGCTACTGCATCTGACACGAGCGCTACTGCTACCAACGAGGACAGCAGGAGCAGAGCTCCAGCTGTGCCTGCTGCAACTTTGAGAATGTACTGTCGCAAGCTCTCAACCATATCGACAATTGTCGCAGGAAAACAGCAGTATCTCAGGTGTCTTTCTTCTCGTGGAACCGTCGGACACGGCGCGCCCTGTGCTGCTTATGGATGACACAGCACATCCCAGATGCACACCAACATGCTACGCTCGGGTCCGGAATGAAGAGTTTCGCCGCACATCGGTAGGTACGGTACCATGTACTGAACTTTGTCATTCACGAGGCCCCCGAGACGATCTTTCGACGATCTTTCTTCCGACTTGTGTTGTGGCGCCATCTTGGCCCCTTCCCTCACTCTGTTGTGTACCAGCCACGTAGCTTTTCTTCGGTACATGCGCCGATCAACAACTAAAATGATACAGTAACTAACTTCGTGCCTTGTACATCAGAAGACAAGACGAGACTGCTGTAGTAGGTACATGCATGGTGTTGTGTGCACTTGGATTTATTTTCCGCGCTACGTATCAGGCAACCAACGTGTATGCGCTCAGCGTCGACGGGGCAAAGATGACTGCTCCTCTCGACGACTAGCCAAGCAAGGTGAACCAAAGATCGAGATAAATCACGAAGAAAGGCTACGGGGGTCTTGCGTGACGAAAGCACTTGGGTTTGTCAAATGCACAACAAAAAAGCACGACGCCAGGGACGAGCGAAGGGAACCGATGAGGCGTTAGAAGAAGGAGGACCAAGCGTTGAGCACACCGGTCCGCAGTCGGTTACTCTGCCCGCCGTGGAGCAAAGGCTCCGTACGAGAATCGATAAGTTCGTGCGCGGATACGGGCTAACGCCAATGGGTGAGGCGGTCGCTCGCAGTTGGATACAGGTGGGTCCCACACTGCATGCCTATTCAGTTTTCCTCGTCGTCGCGTAGATGACCTCTTCGTAATGCTGCGCGTAGCGAGGGTGTATGCGCATGCTGCTGTTTTGATAGGCACCTGACGTGTGTTCCTGTCGCACTCGTGCGGCGTGCTTGCTCTCATTGCCATAACATGCTTAAACCACTGCCTTGGCTTTCCTATTCGGCACGACGATGAGCGGGGGGGGCGTTGACCCCTCCCACGGGACGAAAGCAATCGGAATTTGTCACAAAAACTAACAAGTGCGCATTTCCTGCCCGTCGTCACTCTAATACTGCGGCCAGAGTATTGGATCAGACTCTACCGGAGATTTTTCTCGGGTGCGCGGTTGGCTTGTCGGCCGACTGAACTCGTTTGGATCTTCAGGGATATCTACGTCGGCATCAAGCAAATGGCAAGCGGGCTGCCCTGAGATAATACCCGGTGAGCTAGTATACGGCTGTCCCGCCCAGGTCACGATGGCATGCAACCCTTCATGCCATCCGCGGGTACGGCAAATCGGTTTCCTCGTCTGCTGGCTCAGACAGCACACTCACATGCCCAACAAAATATACTAGTTCATCACAAGGGTTGACTGCCCGATACGCTTGGTTCCTCCCAAAGGGTTGGTCCGGTGTTCACCACAACCCAATGCCCTACGTTCCACGAGTTTCTTGCCGAACATCACCGGCACATGTACAAAGTACTCTCATCATCATGGGTTGCGGTGTGGAACACTGTGTATACCGCAAATCGTTATCACACAAAGCATGATTACAAACGGATCCTGAGGTATAAAGCCTCTTCTTTTCTGTTGGGGCGTGTCTCGCCGCTACTACTCTCGTCCAACAAAATCGGCGTTTTTTGTCCCCAACCTATGCTTGCTGTCGCTGGCTTGATGATTTGAAGGTTTGAGGTCGAAGGCTTTCTGGTCGGCGGAAGACTTCGACTTTCCATGGGTGACCGACTTCGAGAAAGGATTCCACGACGTCAGGGAAGAGCTGCTCGCTCTACGGGGACGACGAGGATTCCAGGTGAAACAATTGTTCATTGTGCAAAATTGGTAGTTTACACCCCTTTGTGGTACTACGTAATAAGACGTTTCTCCCTGAGATACTGTTATTAAGGAGGACCCGATTCGCAGGGTATCCGTCGATTGACTTTTACCAGAATCGGTACACCTTCGCATATATATGGCGTCAGCTGGATACTGGTTCGAATCTCCTTGGGTGCACGTTTTTTCTCCTGACTTGGACATTTTCCCATGGACACCATGTGTGTCAGTCCTGAGAACACCTCTTGGAATCGATCCTATAAATAACCTTGTGACACTTCCATCGAATTACCCGTCCTGGCCACAAGAGGTTCCCAGTTGAGGGTAAATTCTGTGGGTGGAGAGTGTTAAGGAGGACCCGATTCGCAGGGTATCCGTCGATTGACTTTTACCAGAATCGGTACACCTTCGCACTGTCATGTCGAATGTCATGGTAGGGTACGAGTGGATTCCATCAGAAAAATGAGTGGTGCTTCGCCTCACCGGAGATATTCCATGTACCCGACGGTTTAAGAATTAAGAGGGGGTATGAAAGGACAAGACCCATCCCCCCCTGCCCTCTCGCTCCTTTCTGGGCCCTTACTGTTACCGTTCTGACCCATCAGCCATACAGGGCGCCCAATGGCGGATCGTGCAGTGGAGACTTGGCGGCGAAGGATGGTGTGGGGAGCCATTGCCATGAAGGGGGAGATTGGAATGTATTTTACCTTTTTTTGCACAGCGTCGTCGACTTTTCACAGGTGCGTGAGACAGCGCTGATATAAAATGGGAGCAGGTAACTTGCGTTGAATTAAAATCTCAGAACCTACAGCAGTATGAAAGCTGGCTAGACATGGAGGACCTACAACCAATAGTAGGCTGGAAGTGCTACTACTCCCATCTCTATCTCCCTCCCCGCCCCCTGCCTCGATGGACTTGTACTCTAATCTTAACGTCGTGTCGGTTGCATGTCTTGCTACAATTTTGCATGTATCGATCAGAATCGATCCATGTGCCCGAAAACGGTGAAGCTGGTTGAAGCCCTGCCACGCCACCACAAACACGCCTTTTTCTCGGCACTGGCACCCGGCACCCATGTCGTCAAGCACAACGGTGAGACCCAAAGCTGGAGCAAGTAGCGAGCACGGCAGGTGAACACGAGAGGGAGAAAAAGGTGATGCATCTCGTGCAGCAGGATACACTCGTCGTTTAACTTCTTCGCCACTTCCTCTCTGGCAGGATCGCTGGAGTTACCATACCGTGCTCCCTGCCCACATTACAAGCCAAACGTTGACTACCGTAAGAGTCGGAGAGATGGCACCCCCGTGTTAGCGTTTTTGTATAGAATATTTCTCCACAACCAGGGGGGTACCACTGCCGAGAAGGGTAGTATTGGAAACATCTCGTCGAGGGCTTTCCTGAGAGGTATCGGTTGGTGTTCGCACCCTCCTAGTTGTGGAGAAATACGCTACAAAAAAACGCTTACACGGGGGTGCCATCTCATCGACTCTTACGGTACCCACGATACGACTCACCGAAGCTTCAACCGCTTCCCTCAAACTCCTCATTCGCGACGTTTTTCATCCTTTATGCGAGCCTGCAGGTCCGACCAATAAGAAGCTTAGGGTGCATCTTCCACTCCTCGGTCCGGGGGGTGGACTCTCCCGCCTTCGGGTTGGTTCCGATACAAGGGAGGCTGTTGAGGGGAAGGCGCTTGTGTTCGACGATAGTTTCGAGCACGAGGCTTGGAACGACGACGACAACGACGACGACAACGGTCACGACAAAAACGAGGAAGAATATATAGGCGAGGGCGAGGGCGAGGGCGAGGGCAAGGGCGACACCGACGGCGATGGTGACGACGACAGCAGCAGCAGCCGCAGCAGCAGCAGCAGCAACGAGAACGTTATTGGCAGAAACGATCGCGGCACCGACAACAACATTAGAGAAGAACCGTCGTGCATAGAGGAAGCGCAAGGAGATGGCTGTAACGACCCGTGTCGCCCAGGAGAACCTGGAACACGGGGGGAACGGGGAGACTGCAGTCTGGGTGAGGGCAGGGGCAAAGCAGCAGAGAAAAGATGCCGGAGAAGCAGGGCAGCACCACGGGTTACTTTGATTGCCGACGTGTGGCACCCAGATCTTTCCAACAGGTGACCTTCGTGTTTTCTTTGAACAGTTCATTTTGTAGTCTTGTTTCGCCGGGTTGAAACAACCATCTTGCAAATGAGAAGTGACGCCCATCTTCCCGAGGAGAATCTAAATCAGCCCGGCCCAACCCCCCTCAATGCATTCTCACTGTACTTCCCCTTCCCACACCACCTCTCGTGTGTGTATGAAATGCGTTTGTGTTTCGTCTCTCCCTCGTGTCGTGGCACGGTGTTTGTTCCTCGTGCAACGGAAAATCCGACGCATGCTTGCAGCGAAGTTCGGTTCTTGGCATTTCTACAGGAAGCCAGCCTCCGCCTCGAGAAACGCTTGGTTACGAACGTGGAGAAAGAGGAGATGTGTGCGGTGCTACAAACCCGGACGCATGATCAGGGTTGTCCCAACAACAGCAGCACCAATAGCAAGGCCATGGGCAACTTCTTGGGCGTCATCAACCGTGCGAGAGGCCTCTGCTCGGACGAGTCAAATATATTTGGGAATTCTTAGGAATATACGTCCTCTTACCACGATGGTACCACATTTATATGCTGCCGCATAACTGAGAGAGAAAAAGTACTACCATACATAGTGTACTCTCTACACGATGATGTTTTTTATTTACCTGGTCTCTTTGGCGGGGGGGGGACAAGTCAAATCACAAGCAAGCGACGGAAATGTATGTATGGTATTTTCCTGGGTGACCCAGAAGAGAGACAAATCCATTAAATTTTCCTGGATCTGCAGACGGTGGGGTGTGTGTGTTGTTTTCGTCCTATATGGGGGTGCACGTTACAATCTGTACCCCCATGTTGTTTTCGTCCTATATGGGGGTGCACGTTGCAATATGTACCCACATGTAGTATGTATAATAATAGTGTAGATAAATGCTGTATTACATAAGATTAATTCTGAAATCGACGAGGCACGAGTTGTTTGCTTCCGATTTCCGACCACATGCATACGAAACGAATTCATTCAAAGTCATTTCCACTTTCACGTTGACGAGGAAAGAGCGGCACAAGGAAGGGTTGTAGGATAGCAAGCAAATTGACGTGCACCGACCGCAGGAAGGAACACGTCGTCCTTGAAGAAGATTGGATAGCTTCAACCTGTTCCCCTCCCAAAAGTTCTTCCCACTACAAAACTCTGAGAAAAATTGAGAAAAAACAGGCGAGGAATGCCACGAGACCCCCGCCTGCACCTGAGTTGTTGAGTGCGCATGCAATCGTGTTAATTAAGTGTTGGGGGTGACAAGCGAAAGATGCCTACGCCTACGCGACAGTATTTATTTCTGCTTCAGGCGTAGCGCCAGCACATACTGTGGAAATGCACGACGGGTTTGTTTGTCTTCGCAGGAGAAAGACTAAAAAAAGAACGTGACAAGGCGTTGTGTAACAAGCCTCTCTGCCCCGAATCACTGACAATACCACATTCTGTGGAACAAGGGTTTAGAGTTAGGGTTAGATTTCCTATCGGGCACATAGCAGGAATGGGATTTCGTTCCGGGTGTTTAAAAGTCGTCGACGACGTCGATGTTCGCCAGAGGAATTTTTGAAAAAACGTGCGCCTCCCGGCATCTTTGTTCCGGCGGGCGTCGCTTAACCTCAAGTGTCAGGACAGGCCCCAACATAACGCCCCTCTCCAAGGTAAATAGTACAAGTTTCTCGGAGAGCTGTGATGTACGCTTCCAAAAAAATCGCGGCAAGGCGCCAATAGCGTGTTAACGGCGAGGAGAGTCATCCTCGACGGGTAAAAGGCCAAGAGTATGAATAGTATCGATAGGTGTGCTTTCGTTGTGACAGCAGTAGTAGTGAACGCATGCTCGAGCAACCAACCAGGACGGGATCAACCTCGATCGATCAACCGCGTAGATGTGAAGCTGTTGCTGGTGCATCACCTGCTGCTGCTGTGTTTTCATTAACGCAAGGGCTTTGTACGCTCTCTTCGAAGCATGAGCGCTGATGATGCAACTCCCCCCTAACACAAGACAGGACAGGAGATACCTAAAATCCGTCCCCTTTGTGAGCTGACAAAAAAAACGAAGAAAAAAACACCAGAAAATATTCAAAACACTACCAGCACCAGCGCTAAACCCAAACCAAAAGTTGTCGCAAAAGAAAAAACCATCGCCGGCGAACAGGATGTTCCCAAACGAGCCAGCAAGAGTAATCAACAGGGCCTCTTGGGGGGGGGGGGGGGGGGCTCCTTTTAACACAAAAAAAAAA